ACTAGGGCTGTTAATGCCAAGTGAGATGCCCCTTTTGTCTACCCACAATTTCTATCTGGTTAGAGTGAAAGAACCTTCTGCCAACTGAGCATGACTTTCTTTCTTTCTTTCTTTCTTTCTTTCTTTCTTTCTTTCTTTCTTTCTTTCTTTCTTTCTTTCTTTCGAGCTTCTTAGCTTTAGTGGAAGGACTACATCATATTCTTGGTTCTGGGTCACTTTCTTCTGGCTGAAAAGCTCACATCCTCATATCCAAACCGCTTCCTTTAGAAATCACACTTTGTTCTATGCAGTAAGGTAGAAATGGAAGAACAAGGGAATGTGTGTGTGCTGTATTTGTTGGTGATGTCTGGAAAAGCAAGCGTATCCGGAGTGAAGCTGAATAAGTAATTTATCTTAGAGATCTGACCTTCCCCAACTGTTAAAGTACCATCTTAGAGTCCTGTGTGTTGCTAGGCGTCCAAACACCAAGGTAGGTCAGGAAGAAGTAATGGTGTGTGTGATGATTAACCTCAGCCATCAACCTGATGAGATCTGGAATCACCTAGGGAGCAGTCCAAGCTGGATATTGGCCATTCTTGTCTGGTGGGGGTGCAATTACCTGATTATGTTCACTGACTTGGGACACTGTCGGGAGCCATGACTCCAAGCGGCCCACTTTGATATTTAAATCTCAGTGGAGAGACTGCTTTTACCGGACCTTCTCTAAAGGCAGGGTAGAATTTGCAAGTCCATCTCCTTTTGTTTGTGACAGCAGGTAGGATAGCTTGTGAGGATCACACCTCTTCCTCAGACTCCTCAGACTCCTCGTGGAAATTAACCATTGTTCTGAGATGTTTCTACTCTGGCTCAGAAACTCTACAATAAAAAGACAGGCCGACAGTTACTGCAGAAGAAGGCTGAAGATGATGCTCCAAGCATCCTGTCTCAACTCTTGTGTAAATAGGACACAAATAAGCAACTAGATACAATGTTGTGCAATGGGAGGAGCCAGAGGACAGGAAAGAGGAGAGGAGCTAGAGAAGGGGGTTGGAGGCAGAGACTTGCTGGCACTGCTTGCTGCAGCAGCCTGCTTTTTGCTGTGGCTATCGAGTCTGGACCTTTAAAAAGTTTCCTGTGTGCTGTGTGTTTATTTTATTAATATTAATCCTCACTCCCGACTCAAGAACCGTTTGACTCTGCTGGCGGGCTCCGGCAGGACAGGTTACCAACTGTGGGCGGAACCATTCCCTGAAATATATTAAGAGAGGGGGGCGGGGCTGAGCACCAGCCCTCATTGCTGTCTTCTTCCTGACTTCCGAAGCAATGTGGCCAGCTTTCTCAAGCTCCTCCTGCCAGGAAAGCCTGTACTTTGAGCTAGAACAAACCCCTAGTTTCATCCTTAAGGTGCTTTTAAAGGATATTTTACGCAGCTCCGGGAAGGTAGCTATGACAGAGAGTCATCATGATCAGTATTGAGTCAGAATGGCTTTGGTTCCATCTTGAGTCATTCAATCATATGTTAATCTGGATGTTGGGGTGAATGCATTTTGCAAATGTAACTAAGTTTAGAAGCAGTTGAGTTTTATCCTAAATGATTCAAATCACATGAAACACCTGAAGAGAAGACTTGAGGCTACATGACAGAAATTCTAGTTATAGAAGCAGCTTCAGCTCATGCCTACTGTTCATAACAGTTTGCTCTAGAGATATCACAATGGTCTGCCCAGCCCGTAGAACCATATAAGTCAGTTCACCAATATACACAACACAAATATTCCTTATTAGTTCAACTGTGTCTGCCTCCCTCCCCACTCTATTCTCTTCTCTTTTCTAAGCTCTCCCACTGTCCCATAATAAAGCTCTTTGTAACCACAACCTTTTGCACAGTGTGTAATTTAGATCCTAATGTTAATGCTAGGTTCTTTAAGTTTTTATTGTAAGCATTCCTTTTCATGATTTTCTTCCTATAAAGGAAGCAGAGATTTGGGGAAACGGGGCAATGTGATTCCTTACCTGGCAGCTGTTGTGCTTTCATGTGCTGCCTTGACTTCTTTGAGCAAAAGGACCATCAATGAGATAACCAGTCAGGCTAATATTGTGCCAGTGCATTCCATGCTGCACTGCCATCAACGCTGACCTGGATCCAGGAAGCACAGCATAAGCCATAGCTGTTTCAATTTATTTGTATCAGAACGTTTGCTACTATAAGCCTCGTGAACTCAAGATGGCCATGACAGCATTTCTACCTAGGCAAAGGGGCGCATGTCCCCTGGTAGAGGAGTTGCTGTGGCTGGTGTTAGAGGCAAGGCTGTGATTGGTGCAAACACACACCTTCATTTGCACATGAGATGTGCTGTGATGAATCCAAATGCCTCTTCTCTGGCTCTCTCTGAAGCCTTCACAGCATATGCAAGGATGCTTTTTGGAACCATTCACATGACACTTTGTTGTATAATTCCTTAGAGCATACCTACACAATTATGCCCTACTACAGTCTAAAAATTAGGGCTACTCTTCTAAAGAAGGGAAGGATAGAGTTGAGGAGAACAGCACTTTTTTTTACTTACCACAGTTGAAGTTCTTAGAAGTAAGAGACCATAGAAACCTACATTAAGCTTTGTACCTCCAATTAAATAGAAAAAATTCTTCATAGCACCTTGGAAAACTTCATAGTATGGTCTCAGGATTAAAAAAGTATCTATACCTCAATGTTTTCCTCAAGACAACTTTGGACTACTGCAAGTGGGAGATTTTCTACACTAGGCATCAGTATAGTATGTGAGTTAGCAGGAAGACTTTTTAAAGGCCTTTGGGAGAGCTGTTTGTTTGTTTGTTTTCCCCCCTGTGGAAGAAAGAATGAAAAACAATGATCTGGGGTCTCCTTTGTACATAGATGCATTTTGAGAATCTGCTTTAGTATGGTGAGAAAAACCTAATTTATAGTGTGGATTTGCATAGGCAAAATAGATTTTATTGAAATGGCCCTTTGCACAAATTCATCCAAATAAACTCTACCTCACATTTGGGCGGCTTTAATATTTCATGTTTATTGCCACTGGTCCAAGCAATGCATACAGATGTCCACATTTAATCTCCCAAGAACTCCACGAAATATCTACTGTTACTGTTATTCATACCTGGCAAATGAGAATGAAGCAGGATGAAAAAGCGAATTGACACCCTCACATAAGTAGCCAGGATGCACATGAGCAGGGATTACTCTCTAGCATCTCCCTGATGCATACTGGAACCAAACTTGCATCCCAGAGCAGAAGTGGGGTACTCTGTACCCTTTTTCCACTAGAGAAGAGGAATCTATAGGAGGTGGAAACACTGTGACAAGGAACTGAACCAAAAGAGAACTATAGCTAGCCCGTTATTCAAGTTGAATTAATTAGAGTCTGTGGTTTAGGATCATTCTGGCTAAAATGAAGTTAAATAAATAATAAGCTTTCACTTCACTGAAATCAGCTCTGAAAGAAAAACCTTTCTGTGGGAAGAAAGAAGACGCCTGGAAGGAGGGACAGAGGGACACTGCTTACCCACCCTTCAGATGATCAGACTACTAGCTCTTTGGTGGTTTCTCTGCCTCTTCCATCCTTTCCAATTGTGGTATGCTTTCTGGGAGGTAGATTCCATTTCCTGATCCTCTGCAGTTTCTAGGGGGTGAGGGCACAAGGATTTTCTGTACCATAGAGACTTGGTATTTTTCAGGAAGGAATTCTTGTAGAAAGGGGTTTGGGAATCAAGTGTCAGTTTAGAAAAGCAGTCTGCTCTGTTTTATGCTTAGCATAAGATATCAGGCAGAAGAACAAACCCATCCTCCACCTTTGTGGTCTACTGGCACTGAGAATCCATGCACACGCGCACACGTGTTTTGGCTAGCCACTGATACCACCCAGCTAGGCTCACAATGCAGACAGTCTGTGGCCTTCAGGCAGCCTGCAGTCAGCAGACAGAGAATATGTTGTAGTTGTTTTTTTTTTCAATGCTCTTGAATTGCTGCATACCTTTTTTGGACATATGTCTGCGAGGCTAACCTGCAGATAGATTGGGTGTTGAAGGAAATGTAAAATAGGCCTTTAAACCAACGGAGGATTGTCGGAAGCTTGTCTTCCCCACCCCCACCTTTTTATTAAGCGTCTTATAACAAAGGGGGCTCCGACAGCTCACAGTGACAAGCTGTCTGGTTGCATTCATAAGTTGCTGCAAATGCTCTCAGATCCCAGTCCTGTGTGTGTGTGTGTGTGTGTGTGAGAGAGAGAGAGAGAGAGAGAGAGAGAGAGAGAGAGAGAGAAAAGAGGATTCCAACTTGACATACATGGTGGCAAACAGGAGACATCTTTGCCATTCAGAGAATTTATGAAAATTCCTTGCTTCTGGAAGGCCCTCGCGGCTCCGCAAGCCCTAGCGGGTGAGCTCCCCGCACAGCAGCTGGAAGCGATCTATAAATAGCACGGGGCGGGAAGAGCCCAGGGAGCTCTGCGGGCGGGAGATTCCCGGCTCTCCCCAGCGCGCCCCGCCAGCGCCTGCTCCCAGCCGGGGAAAGCCTGCAGGCAGGCAGCGCGCTGCCTTAACCCCTGCGGCGCCAGACCTGGCTGGGAACCCAGAGTAGGAAAAGCCCCGCAACACGGATTCCTTTCTCCCTCTAAACCGCGGCAACCACATCTGCAAATTAGATCCTAATTTCTCCAGCCCCCCACAAGCAGAGAGCATGGAATTTGTCCTGGGTCCTTTTATTTTTTGGAGAAGCTTCAATCCAAACCTTAAAATCAAAATCATCCCCAAATTTGGTCTTGGGCAGGGTGTCTCCAGCAGAGGTTTCCCTCCCCCTTGCTTTATGCTGTTTAAGGACAGTTGCTTTTCCTGGGCTGTGAGTGCGTGTGTGGCTGTGTGTGTGTGTGTGTGTGTGTGTGTGGTGTGGTGTGCGTGTGCGCGTGACAGTGCGCGCACCCGCGTTTATTTTTGGCGCACGAACACCCCTCGGTAGCCTCAAGGTCGGCGACAACCCTATTCGGTAGGGGTCCCCCAGCCACCACTGCTCTCCCACCTGCCAAGGACGCGGGAAGGAGGAAGTCCCCCAGTGGTGGCGGGGCATCTTGGGGCGCCCTGCAATTTCAGCACTGTCGTGCTGGATCGGGGACAAGCAGGCAGAGGCTTGTACCCAAAGGTGTGGACTTGGACCTTCACCAGTGGGCAGCCGGGGCCCGGCTGGTCCCAGCCGCGCCCCAGGCTTGCTGCCCACCCCCCAGGGGCTCTCTACATCCCCTCGAGCCCTCTGTGTCAGCTGTCACGGAATTTGGCTCTGGGAGGCAGCTGGTCCCGGCCCGGATCCCTGGTCCATCTCAAATGGAAACAGTTTCTCCTGAGGACTCGGCCAGGAATCTCAGTGGAAATGCACTGGGGCTGGGCTCCCTGGCGTGTTTAACCAAGGCCAAGCTTACCACTTTGAAGCGAGGGATGCTTCAAATGGAGCGGGATTCCTGGTTACAGACTGAGGTAAGCCCTCAACTAAGGTGACATTGACTGGGGACTACAGTTTTAATGGGACCAGCCTTCCCGGTAAGATGGAGAGGTTTGCCTTCCTTGGCAGACCCAGGCCTCTCTGGTCATCCACAAAGTCTCTTCCCATATTGCTTTTGCCTAGCTTCCCCACATATCTGTGTGAAAGTATTCCCCTATGTGGTTATGGACGGGATTTCTCTGGACTCTAATTTCAGCATTTTACTGTTTACATTAGAAGGTCAGTGCCTTGGCTGACCTGAAGTACCCCTCCCCCCCAGGCACCCATTTGCACTTCCTTCGGTTACACTTGCTTTATTTCCCTGCTCCAGTCTTCCCTTGTCTTCTGTGACCTCACCAATTGTCTCTCTAACTTACTTGTCATTCCTTGAAAATATGAGCGGGACTATAAAAGAGGGAGGGAAGAGTGTTGGGGTTTTGTGTGTGATGCAATATCAGGAGTATGCAGGATGGCTTGTGAAGTTCCTACTCCTCAGAAACCCAGACAGCTAGCCAGTTCTGCTTCCTCATCATCAGGATGACAGGATGATTTTCTTGACAATAAATTGCACCCTTGTTTTTTATCTACCTCCTCCTCTTGGCTATGAGAGCCAGAACCTGCAAGACTAGGTGGATGCTAAACTTGAGGGGACATAGGTGCTCTTTTGGTCCTCACTACTTTGAGTCCTTTATGCTCACTCCAAGGAAAGCTAAGGGCAATGCTTTGCCCTTCGTGGTAATAACTGCATTCATCAAGCACCAGCTCCACTTGTATTAGTCTAAGAAATGTATGCATGCTGATTCAGATAATAAAGCTCCGAGGATATCACACAGACCAGTTCCTTTTACAATTGAAGCAACTGAGGAATAGATATGCTAAGTCATTTGATCATGATCAGAGTAAATGGAGAAGTTGAGATGGAAACTCAGTATAACTGGTTCCAGAACAATGCGCTTTAACATTTTTAGTACATCATGTGACTCTGTCCCTCGTGTATTCACCTATCTATACTGTGCTAGGTGCAGTTCTAGCCACTGGATGTAGATGAGTGAACAAGGCAACCAAGGTTTTTGTATTGTATTTGAGGGAATCAGATGAACAAGCTAGATGGTCCCAGATAATGATAGATTCATAAAGAAAAGAGAACCGGGCAATGCACAAAGTTAGTCTGTGGTGCAAGCTGAGGTGTAGCCAAGTCAGTAGAGTGTTTTCCTAGCACACACAAAGTCCAAGGCTTTGTCCTTTATGTCCTGTAATCCCAGAATTTGAGAGATAAAGGCAGGATCATAAACTCAGGTCATGCCAGCCTGGTATACATAAGACTATTTCTCAGAAAACAAAAACAGCATGAGGGTCAAAAACCAAACTAGTAGTTATCTCCACATGGAGAGGAGTAAGAAACATTGAAGAATTTAAATACCAATTAGTCAATAAGCATCATAAGTGATGGTAATTACATCTAACAAGTTTGTAATTGAAGGTGAAGACCACACTATAGTTCCTTTTATGTGTATTTGGTTGGCCCCGGATCAAAAGCATTAAGACACTGAAAGGAATGTGTGGGTCCAAAAGATCATCAGACCTTGCTACAGGAACATAGAACTTTGGAAGCCAGTAGGATAGCATACACTATTTTGATCCTTTGTCACATCTGTGATCCAACTCTTGAACAAATGTGCACATTTTCAGAAAGAGACAGACAGAGTATCACCGTGTTGCCACACGGGGAAGTATCATACAGTCATCAAAACAAATAGGGTGCTGGGGAGATGACTCAGTGCTGGACTGACTGCCATGAACGCACAAGGATTGTGTTTGAACCTAACACCTGTGTAAAAACACTGGCCAGAACAATGGACACCTGCAATTCTGGTTCCAAGGAAGCAGGGAATCAGATCTCTGGGAGTTTGATGGCCAAACAGTCAAGCTGAGTTGACTACTGAAAAGACTTTGTGGAGAAAGGTGGAGAACATTTGAGACATACACTTGAGGTCAGCTTCTGCCTCTACATGTAGACATGTGTACCTGGACACACATACTTGAACACACACATAATATATGCATTTTTTTTGAAAAGTAGACTAAATGAACCACAACAATATAATAATGATAAAATGAACTTCAGTGAAAAGTTGAGTGTACAGACCATATATGGCATGGGTTTTAAAATTACATCAAAAACAGCTAATATTAAAAGCCTAACTATATAAGAATATGCAAAGTCAAAATGGCACAGGAAACCAAGAGAATTGTGATCATAAAATTTGTGATTATGTTTCCCTTAGATGCTAGAAGCTAGGAGACCTTTATGGTTGGTTATAGACAAGTGAGTTGAGTGGTCTGAGTTAAGTTTTGGCTGGAAAGACCAGGTGTACTTATTGTAGCATTCAAAATAAGTTGCCATTTACAAAGTATGACAGGCCATTCATGGAAACTAATGAAAGTATGAGAAGACCCAATCAACTCAATATGTTCACCTAGTCTGAAGAAAGGTAGGTAGGCACTGAAGGCAGACAAGTAGAGCTCCAGTAGTACAAAGGAGCTGATCATTCCTACTGAAGAGAAAGGCTGTCAGAGCAAGGGTAATCTGACAGATCATAGGAATGAACTAGGACCGAATTGTGCATCAAGCAAATATGTGTAACATAGGGCAAATACTGGATGAAGCAGTGAAGAGAGACAGCCAGCTGAAGATTGTGGAGGACCATGGTGGGGTCCCTGCAAAGAACAGGCAATGATAAGAACTATGGGGAGGCACTTGCACTACTAGAGGGGAGAATATGGTGGCAGGATTATGAGTTTCTGCAGCTTATTTGCTACATAAGTTACTCAGCCTGAGGAAGGGTCCAGTCACTGAAGTCTAGCCCATCTCCTCCTGCTAGCAAGTATCTAGGTAGTGGGAAGGGATGGATAAACACATCTTTCAAATTTCAGAGGGCTCTTTATCTCCAGGTAACCTGATGGTGACTCATGGAGGTAAAAATAGGCTTTCAGAGATGTGAATATATTTTTCAGATCTTAGAGTTTATATGACTAGATATTTGGATTGATAAAGTCAAGAAAATAATCAGAAATAATTCCTGGGGTTTCCTTGTTTTGTTTCACTTCTTTCTTTCTTTCTTTTTTTTTTCTTTTCTTGTGTTATTTAACTACAAGGATCTTAACTGTATATACAGAAAAGAAAAACATAGATGTTTTGTATTTGTATGGTTATACTTTGGACAAATTAATTTAAAAATGGAAATGTAAACATAAGGTGGTCTAGTCGGCATCATAAAAAGGACCAGGAACTATTTAGGGTGAGAGATTTAACTGTGGAAATTCAAGGTCATCCTGCATTATGACAAGTCACAGTTGTTATTGTGAGAGTGTGAAATCCTTCACACAGAGAAATTCTACTTTCTCTCTCTCTTTTTTTTTTATCTCTAGCAAAGTATACAGGAGAACAGTTTATTAATAAATATTTGAATAGCTGGCCAGAAGGATATATAAGCAGTGGGGATGGGGAAATGTCCCAAGTTCCTTCCTTGCTGTTGTCTGAAGCCTGAAGGTGGATAGTGCAGGCAGAAGCAAGTCCAATGGTGGAGGTGTGGATCCAGTGTGGATCCTGGGCCTAGTGTGGGAGTGCCCATAGCTATTCAAATCAACCAGAATTAACAGGGACCACACAGTGAAGAAGAATAGAGTAACCAGGATACCCTGAGTGTTAAATAAGGAGAAGAAAGGAGGGTTGAGGCAGAAGCAAGGACACAGCAGCAAAGCCCGTGGATGACGAAAAGTATAACCATCAGGAAAATATAGGGCTGAGAGACTCCTCTCCAGTCAATGGATCCAATGTGCTTAGTACTATTTGAGCATCAGGGCTTCATTTAAAGGGCACTGTACTTCAAGCACATGTGACAGACTCCAGGTCACTAACTGAGGGACAACCACATGAAGCACCACAGTGGCTTAAGCTGTGTGAGGTGTTTTTTGACATCTTTAGACCATGGTTGCTGAGCCCTTCCCACAGCAGTTATTTCAGCCCCACTCTGGTAGGCCTGTTTTGAAGCATTTGGTTGTATGTGGGTTCCCATTGTTGTAAAGGTACCCTCTCTATGCTAGGGCTGAGGGGCTAATTGCTCATCTAAGCTCTGGCCCACATACCCTTCTGTGCTGCCACATCCTATCAATGTAGTGACATCCATGGTTATGCTTTTCTTCATCCATGGGCTTTGCTGTGTTCTGAGCCGTATCCTTGCTTCTGCCTCAACACTCCCTTCTTATTTACCACTCAGGGCTCTCCTGGTTACTTTACTTTTGTGTGGTCCCTGTTAATTCTGTTTGATTAGAAGTTTTACTAGGATAAAGCTTCTCTTGTTGCAATTACTGCTCACCTTTTTCCTTCAATGAATGCTGTGTCTTTTATTCGCTACTTGCCTAGCATAATGCTAAACATACGAAACGTGGGCAGTGATGGTGAAAGAAGGAAATGAAGGAAGAGAGGTGGGCAGAAGACAGGGAGGTGTTAGATTGAGGTCATGGTGCTATCTGATGACACAGGCCCATGTACTCTTTCTGCAGAAGCTGAGAGCAGTAAGTGCATTCTTGCTTAAGAATGTAGACTGGCAACCGGCCTGCAGTCCTGTTCGGTTCCACATTTAGCCTGATTAGGTCACATAAAGTGTGAAAAATATCAGAGCTTCTGGTGTGATACATATACAAGTTTTAACAATGGTGATGTGAAAGGTAGATAGTGGTGCCTGGCATGTAAGGAGAATACCATGGCATTCGGCTCTAAGCAACTTTCAAGGCATCTATTTGTCAATGTCTCTTTTGATGACCAACTTCAAGGAATGTTTCTTCTGTGAACCTGAGCTCTTTTCTTATGAAGCCAGAAGCTCTAGGAGTGGGGTGGTAGCCAGTTTTGGCAGATGGGGAATTATTCCTGAGAACATGGGTGTTTGCTGTTCCGCTTTACACACTGTGCCACGTGGCCCTCCACTGTCAGCCGGGA